ACTACGACCATGGGAGCAAAATATTATGCATACTGAACTTCGATATTATTATGGACATCAATACTACAAGTAACGCTCGCCGTTACAACTCATTTTGCCCTCAACTGAACGTTCAATTCCTTCTGTAAAACTTGCTGCTTTACAAGCTCAATCAACACTAATATCAAATATATGGATGCAGTTGTGTGTGCGCGAGTCTCTGTTTGGATGTTGATATACGTGTCGCTGTCGATGTAGATGTGTGCGTAGTTTTTCTCTTCATCTATTCAGCCAATTGCATTCAAATCCATGCATGCACACGATCACGCACACACACTGACCGTCACGTTCGCACACAATAACACTACTCACACATCCATATCCAACGTTAGCCATGCGACAATGTAATCAGGCACTGTTGTAAAACTTTTTCAGTAAACTGACACATAAGTAAATCCCGAAGCTTGAAAAAAGCTCAAGTAGATGCCTTGAAATTTCACTTGAAGCTTGACTTCACTTCTCTTGATCAGAGCAGAGACTTGGCTTCGTCGTTTGACTTGGAATTTTGCATTTTATATCGATGACTTGACTAGCCTGGGATGGAAAAAAAGTTACTCGGCCATCTCTAAATGGACATTACTACTGGAAAGACTTGAAACCTAAATCGGAAAGAAAAACTATGAAAATGAGCACTGGAAATCACTCGGTAGTATATGCCCATAGTAGAAAAATGATACTTATTGATCATTTGAGAAATGCATGAAAGGACAATGTACTCCGAGCACTGTCAAATCGAATCTTTCTTCAAGTTCAACCAAAATATGACTTTGAAAGTTTCATAGATTTTTATTGATAGATATTAGTAAAAAATACAATAAGAAGACGCAATCATATGAAATTCAAACTAAATTAGTTGCTTTCTAGTTTATTAGTATAATGAAATTCCAGAACTCTCGCATATAGTTAGATTAGTAAAAAGCGAAAAAAAAACTATGGATGTCTTTTACCAAGCAATTCGTGCAATAATACTACGGGGATATTTGCGCACGCAAAATTTTCTCAACTCATCAATTATCAACCAGAGCATGCCGAATCCAAGTGTTGGCATAACATATTTGACTGGCACTCGACCTGTGCCAAACACACGGTTGAACCAACCAATGAGTGTTAGAAGTAATTGAATAGTGATCGAAATGAGCATTGCGCCGAATATGTATAAGTTTTGACCTTTACCCCAAATGGGATTGTGTTCGATGATCGATGCATATCGAGTACGTGTGGCGAAAAAATTAAAAAATTGAAAAAGGCACATTGAACAATAGTAGACTGATTGCGCCGAATTTGTCATCAGTGTTAATTGATCCGTAGTATATGGCGTGACAGGATCGATGCCGAATTTTTCAAAAGTAAACATGAATGAATAGAAAGGGACGCCATTATCAATCCAATAGTAACAAAAGCAAAAGAATGCAGTGAAGCACTCGAAATTTCCGACCAATAAATAGGCATGAACGAGCAATTTTAGATTGAGTAGATGATCTTTCTCACGAATCGACGGTGGTCGAGACATAATATCACGTTCAGGCTTTTCTGTAACCATGGCAAGGGACATGAATACATCTAAACATAAGATAGAACTGAATGAAAAATAAGAAACAAAAATGAGTGACATCCTAACATACCATTTAGCATGCAGAAAACTGTAGCCCAAAAGGCAGAAAGAGCCAATGGCATGCCGAACCAGAGATTAAAGAAAACAGGCCAAATTTGCGACCACGAACCTGAGAAGTATTCAACAATCGTCATGAAATATTTTGAAAAAAATTATTACCTCCAGGTAGCAAATAGATGGCCACTTTCTTCAAATTGTCACTCAATAAACGACCAGTTTCGATGGCTTGAATGATCGATGAAAAATTATTATCGAGTAGAATCATGTCGCCAGCTTCTTTGGATACTTCTGTACCCGATTGCATGGCTACACCGAGATGAGCACACTTGAGTGCTGGTGCATCGTTAGTTCCATCACCCGTCACTGCCACGACTTCGCCACGTCGTTGAAATTCTACAACTATGCGTAATTTTTGTTCAGGTGATGTTCGTGCAAAAACCAACTCTTGATGAGACAATACCCAATCCCACATTAAATCATCCATAAAACCGATTTCAGCACCGGCAACCTGAACATTGCGAATGTCTGTCAAGAATCAACATAAAAATGAACACTTACCACAATAGCATGGGGAATATATTCCATTTTAGTCGCTTGTGGAAGATCTGATTTCGGTTCACTGAATTGATTTCGGCACGATGCCCAAGCTCGCTTGTACCAGGGTGGTAGTGGATCCGGTTCAGCATCACCAGCGTCAATTTCAGCCTGCTTCACCATACTTTTGGCACTTTTATTTTCTGGATCAACTCGTGTCACTTGACCAGGTGCGTGCTGTTTCAGTAATTTCTCATTTCGGTACAAATTGAGAATAGGTTGACCACTAGCATCATGTTCCATTTTAAACGAGTCCACACCGTTTATTTCTGCGATTTCCGGTGTGAAAATATGTACTTGCTTTGCAATTGCTTTGGCCGTCGTCGGATGATCACCAGTGACCATGGCCACACGAATTTGAGCACGGCGAGCTTTGAGGACGGAATCAGGCACTTCCGTTCGAGGAGGATCAAGTAATGAGAAGAGACCAATAAAGCAATAGTCACCCGACGGAAACCCATTCAAATCTTCGGTTACCGCTGATTGTGAACGTTGTTCTGCTGTATATCGCTCAATCATTTGATCATACTGTGGTCGAGTAGTTTTCTGTTGACACATGGCGATGACGCGATAACCATTTTTGCCTAAAAATATTTAAACTCGAAAAAATCTCCGTCTATTGCAACATTGCTTGCCTCACCTAATTCTTCTTGTCGATTGAATAGTGTCCGTTTCATGTCGGCATTCAATTCCAAAATCTCGTCTTTTTGGGTTTTGTATGATGAACAACGTTGGATAACAATATCTGGTGCACCTTTCATTGTAATCAAAACGGTACGTTCGCTTTCCAATACAGACGGATCAACTGATTGAAGTTCATTAGCCACAATCATAAATTTATTCGATGAATTGAATGGTAATACTTTCAAACGAGAGTTGTTTTTGCGTACCGTATCAATATCAACATAACACCGATCGACACATAGATTATAGAGAGCTGTATCAGCAGCATCGCCCACAAGACGCAATTCGGTTTTCATTTTTGATATATCTTGTCCGAGTTGTGCATCTTGTACCAATTGTTTTTCGGCATTATTACAGAGAGCAGCACCAGCCAGAAGATCTTTGAATGCTTCAATTTGAACTTCACTTGCTACAGTAGGAATGTTGCTCATTTCAGTATCATCGGTGAACGATGGCATGCGTTGTGGCTGATTGATATTACCAGTGGACAATCTTCGCGCAACTGAAACGACTTCCGTCGATAGTCGGCGAGCTGTATCAACGACTCCAGATGATAAACGACGAATCATTTGAAAAATAGTCTCCTCTGGGGCCGGTTTTGGCTGAGGCTCATGTACTTTGTAGATACCATGCGTGTCCCATAAGAGATGAGTGACTGTCATTTTGTTTTGAGTCAATGTACCTGTCTTATCAGTAGCAATTACTGAGACCGAATTGAAAGTTTCGACTATTTGTAAACTTTTCACTAACACACGTTGTCGATACATTCGTTTGGCCACAATCGTCAATACTGAATAGAAAAGCAGAAGACAACACCATAACTCGTTGTTCAAATGTGCTGATCTCATATAAAATATTAGATATTCTCTTGTCAGTTAGTCCTATTGAACAGAATTAGATTAATATAAGTGTATGAAGTGCATGAACATTATTCTTCTAAAATAATGAAAATTTCTGATATCTCGAGAAAAACTTGATGCTTACGTGAACACACTATAGTCATTTTTAACCTGATACAATGAAAATATTTCCAGAAAAAGGAATTGAATAATATTATTATTGATAATGAAGGCGTGATCAAAATTCATCAAAGAGAAAATGTTGCACTTGAATGCTTGTACAACTTTTATTTCTCACTTACCAAGAGTCACAGCCGATGGCAAGCCGAGAGGTAAAAAACCGACAATCATGCCGATGGAGTTAACAATATTTGCATTATAGGTAATAAAACCGTGATGATCTTTATTGAGCCATGCACCCCAAGTGATCCACAGGATGACAATAGAGATAGTAGTGGCTACAACAACGAATAAAACAAAACGGTTGACTTCGCGATGTAAACCGGTGATTTCATCACCCGAATCGCCGCGTGTCAGTCGTGACATTTTGCCCAAAATAGTGTTGTCACCGGTGGCAATGACCACTGCCTCGCCGGTGCCTTGTTCAACCATCGAAGAATAAAAGCCAATATTAGTCGATTCCATTAAATGTGAACTCGTACATCGAACTGTTGACGTGACAGGCTTGGATTCGCCGGTCAATTCCGATGTGTTGATCTATGTGTTTTGAAAAAAATCATATAATTGTTTACGCATGTATACAGTTTATCAGAGAAATATTTACTTTAAGCCCTTCACAGATGAAAAATCGACAATCAGCAGGTAATTTGTCACCCATACGAACGAGAATAATGTCTCCTGGTACAATTTGGTCGGCAACTATTTGTTGTTCTTTACCATCACGTCGAACTGTAGCAATTGTTGGTAATAATTTCGAAAAGGATGCTACGATTTTTATCGATTTAATTTCTTGGAAAACATTCAGAATCGAATTACAAGTGATGACCAGGACGAGTACAATACCGAGTGCTAAGTTTGTTACCGATGGATATGGGTTACCAAATGGTTTGTAGGCTAAAAAAGCAAAAATACCAGCAACCCAGAGAATTGTGTTGAAACCCATGAATAATTGCTTGAAGAGCAACCAAAGATAACTTGGTGGCTTCGGTGGAGTTATTTTGTTTTGGCCATATTGAGCTTGTGCATCTGCTATAGCAGCAGCTGATAAGCCATCACGTGGGTTCGTATGAAAACGCTTATAGAGATCGTCAAGAGGTATTATGTGGACATCCTGTTCGAGACGAGATCTATCCACAGTAGCCCATAGGTCGATGATCGAACTTTGTCGTCTTTCTCGTAATTGTTTAGGAACATCTGTGGTAGTTCGTTGATGAGACTGCTGCTCGTCGCTTTGAAGATCTTGATTGTTCATATTTGAACTACTTCTATGCAAAATAACAACGTTCAAAGCTCACCTCTCTTTCTGTTTTTCTATCTGAAATAGAATTACAAGATCGTTTAGTAAGTTACTGTTAGCTAATTTTAAAACAGAGAAAGTTCAAACCACATTTTATTTTCACACTTAATGATATTCGTCTCAACTTACGATCAATGCTTGAATCATGTGAAATTAAAACAAAATGGTCTCCGATTGATATTCAGCGATTCGTGTCTCTAATAACTGTCTTTCTTTTGTCATATAAAGACTCTATAATGAGTAAAAAGTTTACTCATTACAGCCCATTGCTCTTGTCATTTTTCTCCCACTGGACTTCAAAATTGATTTGAAAATTATACTTATTCCAGTAAATATCGTATTTTATTAAGCAAATCTAGTATAACGAGGTGGTTGTCTATAGTATGTATCTGATTTCTTCATTATGAATTAATAATGGTAACCGTCTCATTCCCAAAAGGGATACAACTTTTGTATAGAGAAAATTGATAAAGTTAGCGAAGAGATATGTAAAAGAGTTTTGTAACCATATACTTCAATTGAATAAAGTTTCAGTTACTTATTGATTGTCATTATCACTAGGTGAATATCTATTTAATCTTCAGAGCTGTCTGAAGATTTCTAGCACTGTTTGATAATTATTCGTAGCTATATAATGAACAATTAGCGATTTATTTTCCATCTCTCTAAGTTAATTGCTATTAAATCCGCAGCACTATCTACAGATTATCGGCACTATTTTATTAATATTTGTAGCAACCTAATAGAAATACTCAGCTATTTATTTATTCAAAGTGATTTGTTTTGAGCAAAGGGTGCCAAAATTGAAAATACTTTGATGGACATCTTTATGATCTCAAGCACTATTTTACAAATATTCATAGCTTTTTCAATATCACTTGACTACTTATTTGTGGTATTTTTTTCGGACAAGAAAGGAAAACGTTTAACATACGTGAATGAACAAGAAGAGAAAACATCGTGTAATTGTTCTTTTATTCGAATTAAAAACTACTCAAATTAAATATTCTAATGTTTAAAGTGAAATGAAAAAAGGTAAGTTTAGGGATGTTTCGAAAATGATGCCTTAGTCAGAATTCAATAATAATAAATGAGAATATTAAAAAAATAGAAGAACAAATAAATAAATGTTGTATGCAGCGCATTTGCTGTTTTTCTTATCGTTCAATAACAGTAATTATTTCTGAAGTGATAAGCAGGCCTCTCGTAGAAAATGTTTACTTCTCTTTAATAATGTACAAAAAACAATAAATTGATAATAGGCATTCACGTCTAAATAGTAAAATTTATCAGGAAGAGCTGATTAAACCGTAACACTGCAAAAAAATTTGAGAGGCATTCCACATCA